TCTACAGAAGAAAACTCAGTTGAGGTTTTGGCAATTGAGCAGATGTTAGTAGAAAGAAAGAAAAATAAAAGAATACTGAAGTATGCTCACTAATTGAGCAAAATCCTATAAATGAAGCCCAGAAGTTCATATGTCCTTTGACTTTAGTGAGTCTTTAAATAATTATAATGAATCTGTAAGTTCTAGCCGGTCTCTCTGCTTATGCATCATTAAAATCAAACTTCTAGTTGTGCCAGTGTATTAACTTGTCTGTATATTCACATAATTAGCACCTCATCATTTCATGCATTCTGGCACTTGGTCTCATCCTCAGTCTCCATTAAACAGTGCAAAGAGTAATCACTACAGCCTCATAAATTTTTTCTTTCAACTTGTGTTATTTTCCTTGTATGAAAATAAGAATTTGTTTAAATTCTTTCACTGAGGTGAAAGTCTGGGCGGATCAATAAGTTTTCCAGGTGTTATTCAAAATATGGGATAACTCAGAAAACCAAAAAGCTTTATTCAGTCTAGATTCATCCTCTCTGGCCCTTGTAGCACCTATGGAGCTGCTAGGATTTTGATTTGGGCATCTTGGAATATAGGAGCTCAGAGTTCAGTACCCTAGCCACATTTTTGCTACAAAAGGAGATAATTTCTGCCTGGCTGAGATTCATGTTGATTTTAATTTTTAAAAAATGTGTCTCTATTTTCTTTTTTGGACTGGCTTTTTTTGATCAGCCTAACAGTCTCTAGGACCGCACCCCTACTACTTCCCTGAAGTTATTGCTTTCCTGAGCGGAAGAAAACATTTTTTTTGAGAAGTTCTTCAGTCTGGTCAACTAGTTTTTAGGTGATTCTTCGGTTGCACGTGACGGAACTTGTATAGAAATACTTGGGTTTTCCTTTTTTCTTCTTTTTTATTTTGGAAAGGGGTTGGGTTGAAAGGTGAAACCCATAGGGCAGCCTCCTGCCTTCTTGTCTCGGCCAAAGTTTCTCCTGGTCAAGTTGGTGGCTTTGATGAGCGAGAGGAGCCCCTGGACTTTGCTGATTGACCTGCTCCTCACAGTAGCCTCCCGGTGGGTCAGCCAAGGCGACATTTGCCGCTGGACTCTTGCAGGGTGTGGGGGCGGGGTGGGGGTTCGCCTGAGCCAAAATCGCAGCGGCCTCAGGCACAGCAGACAGATGCTGGAGAGGAACTCGGTTGCTGGAGCTGCGGAGCGGTGGGTGTCGGGCACCAAGCTGCACGCACTGAGAATCGGGTAAGGGACGATCGCCGGTGGTCAGGGAGGCAGAGGGAGATGTTGGGAAGATTGAAAAAAGCTTGGAGCTCGCGGTCTCCTGGGAAAGCTGGAACGGCCCAGCCTGAAGCTATAGAGCCGAGGCTGTGCGCCCAGAGCGCGCGGGGACCTCTGGACTACTCTTCCAACCCGGTCCCCGCGGCAAATCGCTGCTTTCAAGGGTCTTATGCAGGTTAGTAAACTCCCACAGCCGAGACCCGCTAGGCTGAAAACAGCAGCACCTGTTGCCAGAAACGACCCCCGCCTCGGTGCGGTCGCCGGCCCTGGCCGCTAGGGCGCGGGGTGTGGCCCCAGAGAGCGCGGCCCCGCGCGGCAGTCGGGCAGCTAGCTCCAGCTCCTGGCCTGTCTGAGCAATCTGGATGGGCCCCGGGCCAGGGCCAAGGTCACGGTGCCTCTCTGGTTGAGGCCCCTTTGGGCTGCTGCAGCCAAGGCCCAACTGTGTCCACGTTGCTTCCCCTTCCCGCACATGCCCCGAATGGGAGATGGCAGAGAGAAACAGCCCTCAGAAATAAATCCGTTTGATCTTCTGGCTTGCTCCTTTTTTGTGTGTGTTCAGGGCTTATGTGGAGGGCGGGAGCCAGGGTTACCGGTGAATCCTCGGAGTCAACTCAGCGAGGCAAGATGCCCTGGTGCCTCCGCTCTTTGAGCCCTGACCACTGTCAACCCATTTCATAGCGAGCAAAGTTGTTTTACTTTATTTTTCATCCTTTTCTAATTGTTAATGTCTTCAACGGAGGACTCCAAAAAGTGCTCACCAAAAGTGCTTATCTGGCTGCAGTCCTGGTCCTTAGGTCACCCTACACTCTCACATGGCTTTAGGAAAAGCAGAGGGCAGCCAGAGAGCGGAGAGCGCGCGGCACCCCGCCAGGGTCCGGGGATGACACAGTAGATCTCCCATTTCAGGCACCGTTTTGTTTTTGAAACGAATATCTCCGGGGTGGACTCGCGTGTTCAGGCAAAGACTCCGGTGCTTCTTCCTGGCCCAGTGCAGACCTCATGCAAGGCTGGTCGCGGTCATCCTAAATCCCTTTCGCAGAAAGGCCGGCTGAGGGAAACCATCTTCTGGATTAAACTCCCACACTCACTTTCCAGGCCTGCAAGTGAATGGTTTAGGTATTTCTAAGTCTGTTCTCCCCTTCTCCCTCCCCTTCCCGCCCCCCTCCGCTTTCTTGATTAACTTGAAGATACTTTAAACTTCTTTTAGAATTCTACATTGAGAACTTTTAAAAAATGTTAACATACCTTGCAACAGCATTTTTTTTTACTCCTTCATTTAAAATCTGCTCTGATTTTGCTACTTTGAAATCAAAACTCGGGCTCAGTATTTTCAGTTTTAACCAGAAAAGACAGATGAGGATACTCATGGGTCAGAAAGTGGCTCCCGAGGACCACAGAGCGGAGCGAGCGCACAGGCTCCCTGCGTGCTAACCGCTTTTTCTCCAGTAAAGTGCTCCCCCGCCCCCCATAGCCACTTGATCTTGAGGAGTGCGGAAAAGGTCTGTGCTTAGGACTCACTTCCCCTAGCTTCCGTCCATCACCTGGTACTACAGATGTTCTTTTTGAGCCCATTTTCGCATGAAGGATGCGTGAGATGTCAGTATCTTAGCTAGTATCTTAGCTAGTGTGGTGGATTGGGAAACATTTCTTTTGCTTGGAAGTTAGAATTGAGTTTCCAACTCCATGGAATTTCCTGGATCCTTCTTTTAAAGAAACTTTCCTTCCACCGAAGTGGAAGCAGTAGAAATGGTTTGTGTCCGTGCTTCCGGAGCATTGATGTGATGGTTTGGGAGGGGGACTGATGACTTTGCAGTAAATCAATTTTGGTGTAGAGAAAGCATCTATTCCAAAATTGAATCTCCCCATCCGCTGGTAGTGCCAGGGCTACATTCACGACATGACTGTATGCCAGTAAGGCACAGCCTCATAGAATGTGCAAACTGTGGACTTGGGCATACATCCTTCTTCTGTTGACCGCTCTATTTGTGTCATAGGAGAGTGGAGACTCCTCTTCTTAGTTCTCACAGTGACTCTGAGCCGCAGAGGCCCTAAGTGCCTAAGGTTTGAGTATTGATTTTGTTTCTTGCTTTCAATGGCGACACTGCCTTAACTGAGTGTCTGTCCTCGGTTCCTTCAAGCCCGCAGCGTGGCGTTGCCCAGGTTCTCCCAGAGGCCACCGTGGGACTCCCTTCTTTCGGGGGATTTTTGCCTTCCCTCTCCTTGCTCTGCTTAACCCAAGTCTTGCTCAACAAAAGAACACAGCAAAGGGAAAGGATAACCTGTGCCGACTTCTTCACTCGGACACAGTGCTCCGAACCCCAGGCCTTCTCTTTATTCTCAGAAACTGCTCTGGACCGCAGTGCCCAGGCGCGCACGCACAAGGGATTCTCCAGGTCCTTTCATTGTCCGACCCCAAGCCAACACACACGCCAAAGTATTGTACTATTGGATTCTGAGCTCCTGCTTCCCCCATCCCGCCAGAGTGGGGCCAGCGGAGAGGACCTACCAGAGGCTCTCGGCTAGCCCGCGCCGCGATGCTTCGGGCGGGAACTGCCCCAGCATCTTCTGCTAACGCCAAAGCCGAAATGGCCTCTCCGGAGCTCTTGGGGATCTTTCCAATCCCCAACTCCTTCCCCTCCCCATCAGCTCCTTTTTCTCTCTTTCCCCTCCAGGTTGATTTTCTTGTAAAAACAGACGTTTTACCCCTCCGTTCCAGATCTAAGAAGTCAGAGAATTGTACAAAATTAAAATTATTTCAATCTATTTTGTAAATGAAAATCATAGAAAAAGACTCCTCCCCGCAGCAGTGTCAGCGGCAACCCCATCACTAAATAGGGACCATACTTTGAAACCACACCAGAGGGGCCCAATGTACAAAATTAACAAAATTCCAGTGTGTAGGAAAGGAGACCTAATGAAGAAAAAAACTCAAGACAGTGAACCTGGGCATGCATCCTTTCTCTTCTCCCAGCCCTGGCTGATCGAATCTGCCCTTCATCTGCACTTCTTTCCCTCAAACCTTTCCATTTGGGACCCGTTTTTGCCTACATGTCCCTAAACTTCAGAGTAGTGATAAATGAAGGAGAGAAAATATTTCAATTCATCTCTCCAAATCCAGAGGAACCTGCACTAACCGTCTGGCCAGCTTCTCTTCCCTTCCTTCGTTTCCTTAAGTGTAAGATTTGATTAGGGAAATTGGGGGGGGGGGAAGGGTGGGGTGGAAGAAAGTTAAAAAAAAATCAGGAGGGCTAGAGCTAGAGCGGTGAGTGTGTCAATCAGAGGGTTTTGTGCCTGGGGGCTCCTAGCGGTTTGGAGCAGAGGTGTCCCTGGGCGGCCCCACAATGAATATGAATAGGAATCCTTGCTAAATGGGACAGCAAAGCGCACCGCCCTGAATGATGGCACGTCATCTTAACCAGTCCAGGATAGATAGGAGGGCTCCTTTTGTCTCTTTTCTCCGCCGCAGCTCTATAAAAGCCCCTCTTTTTCAGCGTGAGGTTAGTTCAAGCACACACCAACTAGCTGTCCAGGAAACAGCCCAACCAGAGATAGGGGCGCGGGGAGGGAGAGAGGCGGGGCAAGACAGTGCCTCCGCTTTTCTTTTCAAGTCCTGCAACTGAGAAGTGGGTTGTTGGGCTGTGCGGATTTTTTTAATAATCAAGATTCTCCTTAATTTCCCGCCTAAAGCCTCCCCCACGGTAGGGCCGCATACCCTGTAATAAAATGAATTCTGATTCGAGCTCTGTCTCCAGCAGAGCTTCATCTCCGGACATGGATGAGATGTACCTGAGGGACCACCACCACCGCCACCACCACCACCAGGAGAGTCGTCTCAACTCAGTTTCGTCCACACAGGGCGATATGGTGCAGAAGATGCCTGGGGAAAGTCTCTCGCGGGCTGGCGCTAAGGCCGCGGGAGAGAGCAGCAAGTACAAAATCAAGAAGCAGCTGTCGGAGCAGGACCTACAGCAGCTGCGGCTGAAGATCAACGGACGCGAGCGCAAGAGGATGCACGACCTGAATCTCGCCATGGACGGGCTGCGCGAGGTCATGCCCTATGCGCACGGGCCCTCGGTGCGCAAGCTCTCCAAGATCGCCACTCTCCTGCTAGCCAGAAACTACATCCTCATGCTCACCAGCTCCCTGGAGGAGATGAAGAGGTTGGTTGGCGAGATCTATGGTGGCCATCACTCGGCCTTCCACTGCGGGACTGTGGGGCACTCGGCCGGACACCCGGCGCACGCGGCCAACACTGTGCACCCGGTGCATCCCATCCTGGGAGGCGCGCTCTCATCCGGTAATGCCTCGTCGCCGCTCTCCGCCGCCTCACTGCCCACCATCGGTACCATTCGGCCTCCCCACTCGCTGCTCAAGGCGCCCTCCACGCCGCCCGCGCTGCAGCTGGGCAGCGGCTTCCAGCACTGGGCCGGGCTGCCCTGCCCCTGCACCATCTGCCAGATGCCGCCGCCGCCGCACCTGTCCGCTCTCTCCACCGCCAACATGGCCCGGCTGTCTGCAGAGTCCAAGGACTTGCTCAAGTGAGCAGCGGGCCGGCCCGGCTGCTAAGGATGAGGAGAGAGCGGCGGGAGGAGCCGCGGTGCCGGGCCGGGAGGGAAGGGGGAGGCTAGGCGCACGACCTGCGGGGAGGGCGGGCGCGGGGTCCCTGGCCTCCCACCCCGTCGGAGAGATTTCAGATTCCACTTGACCCCCAGGGAGAAAAGACCAAAAACAAACTACAATTTCTAGGAGGTAGAGAAGGGGGACTGGAACCAGACGTCGTGTTTCGCATGCATGCTTCTTTTCCCCATGCCGCGCCAGTATTTCTCACTGCCATATGCTCTTGTCAAAACTGCATTTGTTGTATAAAGACGGGATCCGTGTAGTTACAAAGATGCGAAGGAACTTTCGATTTGACTTTCTCTGGCTCTGTTCTCGCCTTGGGAAAAAATGGCCATCCTTTTTGTGCGAAACAAATGTAAATATTTCCTTGAGATGGATGCAATTATGAGTCTCTCTGTCCTCACCATAGTTTTTCTAGAGACAATGGAGAGAAAGAGGGAGAGAGGGAGAGAGAGAGAGAGATGTGTATCTCAAGACCCAAGTTTTGAATCTCAACTCCCGTCCAGGGCATGATAACCTCCTATGTGGGTTTTCCTTTTCGACGCAGTGTAGGTCAAAAGAATGCATGCACGCTTCTAAATGAATCTTGTCTAACATGTTGTGCGGCCATGGTGCCATTTTCCTTGTAACAAGGATTTATTAGTGAATTATCCGAAGTACTCCATATATCTGTCTGTGGTTGTATGAAATGAAAAAGGGGGCAGAGTGCAAAGACTCACACTCACGCACACACGCTTCTTCCCCCACCCCACGCCCTTCAAATTTCATTCCAAACCTTCAGCTGTGGTAGGGGCCCCGCAATCGCAAGCTTGGGTTCCCTCTAGTAGCTTGCCCCACCCCCCTCGCTCAGTTATTCTGCATGCGGGGTCGGCTCTCTCTATTATCAGCTTTGAAAACTTATTGTGGTTTGGGGGAGGGGTGACGTTTTTATTTCCTGAACATTTGCTTGAAATATTTTGTTAGGGCCTCAAAGACAATACCTGTCTTTATTTTTTATATATTCTTGATAACTATGATATATTTATTAATAACCAGTGTTTCTGGATGAGATTTCAAATAAAAAAGAACCTTAAATCCTGGTTTTGCCTTTGCCTAAAGTCTTAGAAGATGGGGTTAGTGGGAAAGTGTGGATTCAGTGAGGTGTGTCTGGGTATGGGTCAGGGATTTGGGTGGCAACAGGATGTGAAGATTTTTTTTCCCCCTCTGGTCTATCCCCCATAAAGAGGATGGGTAAATTGGTGCTAATCATTGCAACTAAATGTCCTTCAATGAGACAGTGTCCATATTTGTAGTCTTGTTACTTGGGCTCTTGTTTACTTCCCTCATAAACTCAGAAATTGAGTTTTTTGTTTTAAAAAAAGCAATCTGGAAACACAAAGTGGCAGGAAATGAGAGGCGGAGTGGTGACTACCCTGGGTGTGTTGGCAACAGACAAGAATGAAGCAGTAAGTTAACTTCTTTTTACTTTGAATTAGCCTTGTGATCTCTCCCTACCCATTTTAAAATCCAGTGTATGTTTAAAAAGTCAACAAAGAATGATCTTAGAAAATAATCATTCACCCGCCTGCCTGCCTGCCCCCTCTGCAGCATGCCCTGCAGAGAAAGAATGCCATTCTGCTTTGTAAGGTGAGCTCTGGGAGGAGGCAAAGCACTACCCAACTCTCAGCATCTTGCAGATTTATAGGGAGAATTTTCCTTTTTTCCCTTCCTTTAGAAGATCGCAGTTCTAATTAACTAAAGTTATTGGGCATCTTCAGTTTAAATGTCATTTAAAACAAGGGTCATTTTGATCACTTACTTTGCTGTCTTCGCTCTCATCTTATATCCCCAATAATACTTCCAAAAAGTTGGTTTAAACAAGAGTAAGTAATCCAGCAGAGGATTTTATTTGTTAAAACAAAATTTTAAAAAAGGGTAAGAAAATGAGCTCTAATGATAACTCCAACAGCACACGCTGATATTTCCCACTGAGAAAAATAGAACACTGATGGAAATGTACCACCTGGAATTTATTTCTGAATTAGATGAAAAATCATCTCAATATTAGTTGAGGCCTGTGTTCTCTTTCCAGGATCCACTCAGGAGAGTGCATGTAGGAAGCATTTATCCTTCCCTTCCTGGATCCCCTTGCCTGCCCAGTGCTGCCCTTCTCTGGGAGGGTATCTTTCGGGGGTCCCTCTTCAATCCAACTCACTCTCCTCAGTGACTTTTTCCTCTTTCACTACCATCAGGCCACTGGCAAAGGAGAAAGACCAAAATGAGAGTCTGTAGCAGAAGGCACTTGTTTCCACTGGTTTTAGGCAGACAAATGAGGGAATAATCATCTGTTTCCCAAGTGTGATTCATTTCTCTGGGTAAGGAAAGAATAAATCCCTGTTGAGGATTTATTTGAAACCAACACAAGGCAGCCCTCCAGCCTTTCCCTGAGTTTATTATTTAGAAAGGGGAGGGGAGGGAAAGTTTCATCAATCAGGAAAACGACTTTGTCCTGAATCACTTGCTTCCTTTGAGTCCTGTTTCCAAGGCCTACCTCGAGGAAAGACTCAATGCCTCACTGGCTGAGGGGTGTGATTCTCTTTCCTTAGAGCCCAGGCTTAATCAGGGGACTCGAAAGGAGTAAGGTAACATGGAACACCAGGGAGTATTGGCTTTCTGGGTTGCTGGGACAGGAATTCCTTACATTACCTCCAATGGTCAATTTAAAGAGCTGTGAAGTCCATTCTTTTTAAAAATTTTTATTAGTTATTGACGGACCTTTATTCATTTATTTATTTATATATGGTACCTCACACATGCTAGGCAAGCACGCTACCACTGAGCCACAATCTCAGCCTCTTGAAGTCCACTCTTATGAGGTACCGTACTAAAAGGAACCACAAGCCCAGGTAGCTGTACCTGAATTCATCCAGGGAGGAAAAATCAACAGCTCCTTCCAACATTTAGAAGATCCTCCCAAGGCCTTGAGCTCTTTTCTGGGTTACAGAAATTCCTTTGGCCTAGAGATGACTAGGATAGAGAATTTCCTTAAGAACTGGACAGGACACAAGACAGGGAGGAAGGCAATTTGGGAACCGGGTCTTCCCAAGGTTTCTGATTGTTGGGAAGAAAACCACGGATTACTGGCCTTTGGAGAGGGCCTGGCATTCTCCCCGGGGATGTGAGTTTGTAGGCATACCCTTACTTTCATTGCTTTGCTGGTTACATTCTCGAATTATCAACAAGACTTATGTAACCACGAAGGTGAAAATGGTTCTTGGACAGAATTTTTTCATTGTAAATTCATCTCTTTCTAAGAAAGTTGGTAACTTTAAAGTAGTTTTTAATTCAATCCAGAAATCTAGGATCTTTTCATCCTGGATTAAATGTTGTTTTACACTTGAAAGGATAATGTAAAGCTTCATGGGTGGAGGTACCGCTACAGAAGCTCCTGCTAGAAACCAGTTAGCTTCTTCTCAGGCTGGTGGTGGAACCTTAAGGGCTCAAAAAAGTCATTCCTGGAAAGGGAAAGTGCAGCAGGCCGTTGGTTGGGCCCACGAGATCTTTGTATTCGGTTCTGGGGCCTTGGGCTCACACCACCCAAAAGGGCAGAGAGATTTGGTCAGAGGGGGCCAGGCCCAAATTTTCATGGGTCCCTCAGCAGGAAGCTAACATCCCACTTAAACTGCCCCCACCCAGCCGCTCCCCTAGATGACGATGTCCTCAGCAGAAATTGCAAAAGCCCCCTACCTCCGGGAGGGCGGTGGATTTCCTAATCACCTCGGCTAGACCAGGAGATTTAACTGTGCTTTCCAGGTCACTTCCAGAGGCATCGGCCCCTCTGTCCTCCTCCCATCCTCCGCTGGAGCAAAGGGATGACTGCTCCCATCGGTGCGTTAAGGGTTGGCTCCCAGCACTCTGCCAGGACAAATCTGAGGCCTCGCAGCTTGTCCCAGCCCCTCTGCCGCTGTGGGGACCCGAGAAGGGACTTTGGGGCCTGGACAGGGCGGAGCCTTCATGATTCCAAAGACACCCCACAGAATCTCAGCCTCACTCCTAGGAGGCATTTCTCGGATTGACAGGACAAGCAGAGTCAGCCACTTTCCTACAGGAACCCTCCCCTTGTGCCCTCTGCGTGCGTCCCCAGGCCTGAGGCCACCTGGTACCCGCCCCTCCCCGGCACCCTTGTCAGGGGAACTGGGCAACCAGAGCTGCAAAGGGAGGACGTCGGGGCCAGGCGATCACCCAGACGGTCACGGATTTGGGCCCCAGTGGTGTCCTCTGATTTGGGAAGGATGCGAGAGAAGGAACTGCAACAAAAATCTCCAGGTTCTCGAAAGAATTAGGCCGGGAGGTGAAGGGCCCCTGCTAGATTGAGAGGCCCCGCCTCCAGGAAAATCTGCAGGAGAACGAATGTCCCTGCTAATCCTGCCCCTGCGAAGTATCTGCGCCTCCAGTGTACCCAGTGATCTAATAAGTGGTCAGGAAGAGTCAAACTCCACAGGCTTATGTATGCGGAATCTCTTTTTGGTTCAATGTCAGTTTTCAGGGGTACCTTCCCTGGGACACTGCGGCCGCGGGGCTGCGAGGGAGCAGGACAGAGTAGGTGAGGGTAACATTCAGTGGAAGAGCCAGAAAGCAGACGAGATCCGCTCTCCACTGTCCCCCCCCCCCCTCCCCGTAGTCTCTCTCCTCTCTGCCCACCTGCTGGGTGCGTTGTCCCTCGCGACTTCTTCTTGCAAGTGGCAGGAGCCAGGAGCCCAGATTCCAGCTTTGCGCCAGGACCTTGGTCCCTGGGTTGAAGCTGAGTCTGGTGGGAAGGTTGTGCCTAGGAGCCCTGCTGTCTGGAGGCCCTCAAGACAGAGGCAGGCGGGGCTGTAGATAATCAGAGAAAGATGTACTGGCGAGAGGGTAGCAGTGATCGAGGAGCAACCCCGACTGCGCTA